AGAGTTGGTGTAATCTTACCTGGGCGTGATGAAAACATGGATTAGGGGTGGCCTGAGGGGAGAGGTAGTGGCAGTGACGAGCAATGTTACGGAGGTGGGAGAAAGCAAAGTGGGTCAGAGCACAAATGTGAGGTTTAAAGGACAATTGAGAGTCGAGCAAGACACTGAGGTGCCACACAGGCTCCATGAGATGGATGCTGTCAGCACCTGAGGTGAAAAGGTGCAAACGGGAGTCAAGCAGTCTTGTCACATTCAACTGGAGAAAGCTAGCTCTCATTCAGGACTTGATGTCCAACAGGCACTCAGTCGGAATAGCAATGGTCCTGAAATCAAGGGTGGAGGCAGAAAGATACGAGTCGGGTTTCTCCAATACATGGAAGTTAAATCTAAGCACCGAGTAGCAGCATGTAGATATTAAAATGGAGAGGCACGAGGATAGAGCCCTACTGTATTGTATTTAAGAAATATAATTTTTAAAAATGCAATAATAGTCAATAAAACATGGCATTTATTTCCCAACGCCAGCCCAGACCTCTCCTCTCTGTGTGTGCTGCAAGCCTGAGAGATGCCTTCAATCTAAAATTGAGAACATCCACATGACATACTTAAACTGAGCTTTCAAGATGCCTGATTGATGACAGGTTAGATCACAGTACTGCTCTGGATGAAGAAAGCCCTTCAGGCCATTTGATCTCATCCTTCCAGAAGACCCAACCTACCTTCTTCCCATCACAGCACCAAGCTGTCTTTCATATCTTACTGACAATGAGTTACTGAAATGTAATTGCATTGGAGTTCTGATAGAAGTCATAAAACCAAGAAAATAAAAACCTATGTAAAACAGCAGAACCCAAAGGCTGAATTCAACTTCAGTTCCATTTGCTAGTTTATTTTTTCCAAGGAGTACATAGTGAACAGGCAATATGTTTCCTCCTGTTACATAGAAACCCTGCTGCTCAGAGTCAGCAAACCAAATCACGAAGGAATGAAACAGCGTACAGTATAATAGTGGGTCTGAAAGTTATTCAGCATCATAGAAAAGTGTGTGAGCATGTGTAGTGTATTTATCAGGAAATAACCTATTCAGGAGATATAATAAAATGATTTATTCCAGTGAACTACTGAATCGTCAAAATCCAGAACACTCCTTTAATTTAAAACAAATCATCATAGAATAAATAGAATATCTCTTGTCCCCTCTGATGACTCAGACCCACAGACTCCGAGACCCATAGATTGTGAAAGTCCCAAATAAATATTAGTAATCCTTCCATTTGATACAACAACAAACAACAAAATTACATTTATAGAGCGCCTTTCAGGTCGGGAGGACGTCCCAAAGCGCTGGACAGTCAGGGGTCAGGACCCGAGCACAGGGGAGCGGTGGGGTAGGGGTGAGGGAAGGCAGAGAAGTGGGAGGGCAACTGAAGGCACAATCGAAGAGGAGGGTCTTGAAACTGTCCTTGAAGGAGGCGAGGGAGGAAGTGAGGCGAAAGGACTGTGGGATGGAGTTCCAGAGTGTGGGGGCAGAGAGGCTGAAAGCCTGGCCACCGATGGTAGGGCGGGTCGGGTGGGAGACATGGAGCAGACCGGAGCCCGATGAACGGAGGGAGAGGGCAGGTTGGTAGGGAGTCAGCAGGTCAGAGAGGTAGGAGAGGGCAAGGCGATGGGTGGCCTTGAAAGTGAGGACGAGGATCTTGAATTCGATCCTCTGAGGGATGGGGAGCCAGTGGAGTCGGGCGAGGGTGGGAGTGATGGAGTTACGAAACTTGGTGCATGAGATTACACGAGCTGCAGAGTTTTGGATGATCTGCAGCCTGTGAAGGGAAGAGGTGGAAAGGCCGATGAGGAGAGAGTTTCCATAACCGAGCCTTGACGTGACGAATGCGTGGGTGAGGGTTTCGGCAGCCTGAGGGGTGAGGCAGTGGCAGAGTCTGGCGATGTTGCGGAGGTGGTGGTAGGCAGTGCCAATCATGGTCATGATATAGCGCCTTTGACAATGGGAGGACGTCTCAAAAAACCTACTGTGATATGCAGTGCAAATACCATGTGCAAATTGGCTAAGGATGTACTCCTGATGGGAAGGTCACTATACAAAAGTAATTTGTTGTTGTAGGCGAACGTGGCAGGCAATTTGCGCACAGCATTTCCTACAGTCATGAAATGAATGACCAATTTTATCTGGGGAATTATTGGCCAGGACACTCCACTCTCTTTTCAAACAGTACCTTGGTATCTCTAACATCCACCTGAACAGTCACAGGCGGGACCTCGGTTTAACACCTCATCCAGAAGAGAAACACCTCTGATAATGAAGTGATCATCCAGCACTGTATTGGAGCATCAGCCTAGACAAATCTGTCCTGTGGTGGGTTATTTTAACTCATCAAAAGTTGCATTGGGTGGTGGGCTAAATTGTCTACACTGCCAAGTATCCTGGTAGCACAGACAAGAATTTGAATTGGATAATCCTCGTGAAGATTTGAAATAAAAGATGAATCAAACCAATGAAAGGTGTATCTCCTGTTCAACATGAAAAGCTAAAACTAGTAATTCACATATGCCTCACTTACCATCTTCCCTCTCACATCCCTAACAGACCACACTCACACAAGCACTCTACTGGCTCTGGAATCAATTGATTTATACTTTTGCATAATAAAATAATATTTGGACTGATCAATACAATGTTATAGGGGCCAATTCATGATCTTACCATCTATCGCAGCACCACTTTTACAGCGGAGACTGGCTTTTATTCTGTACAAATTGATTGATCGTGCTACTTCATTTTCTGTAACTACGGCAACATTAATTTAAGAATGAGGCCGCATCTTCTACATTCTTTATAATTGGCAAGAAACTGATTATAGCTGAACAATAGACAGTTTACTTTCCAGTAACAATCTTGAAAGAAGCAGAGAGGTTGTGTTTGCTGCTGCACACGGATGGATGCCGATAAAGATTCAGTCTCTATTCTCAGATTTGAAATACTCGTTTTTCTCTTAGCAAAACAATCCATTTCCAATCACATTCAGTGCTCTTATTAAATTATTATTTTGTTAAAGTTATTCGCGTTAGAATATGAAAGCTATGAACAAAACCATAAGACAAGGTGTTCTCCTCCGATGGTGACTTTCCAGTAAACATGGAGGAAAGTGCATTCATCCAAGATATCAGCCAGTCCTGGGCATAGTCAGGCTACAAGGACAGTGCCCAAGGAATAGCAGTGGACGAACTGCTGCTCATGATTCTTCCTCTGTAAGGCCATGTGCTTGTTGCCCTCAGTTTGACTCCAACAGTAAAGATCAGGAGGTTATCTTATGGGAAGCTGTAGGCATTAAAGTCCATTAAAATCCATTTCCAAAGGCCAGTTTTGATAGACCAAATGCCTGAATTTATTTTCATCTGAGATAAAGTTTCTTACCTGCTGAAAATGTTCCGCATTCAAGTCTGAAATAATATACTGGTAATGAGCAGAATGTTTGGATTCTAAGTTAAACGTCATCATTCACTAGATGTTCAATATTAGACATTACAGATCTTGATGGGAACGCCAGCATCTCTCCAGTTATCTCAAACCTCCCTATTGACACGGTATCTAGAAGCTGCTGATGTGAATTCACCAACAGCTGAGGCACTTACTGTACCAATTTTTGCCTTCAATTTCACAGTCACTACACTTCACAGTAAATCCTATAAAGCACTTTGAAACTTTTGATAAGGAGCTGTATCAAATGCAAGGCTTATTATGCAGGACATTGCACTTAGCAACAAGGAAGATGGTTGCATTACTAATCCTAATTTAGAGCTTTGATGCTAAACACAGCAACATACCATTAAGTGGTGAATTGGCTGGGAGTGTGTTACATGGTAACAAGAATCAAGCGGTTAGGATGAGAGACTGAAGCTGAGTCTGTCAATATTCCCCACGCCAAGGGTATGTTATCTTCAATCACAGGGGATTTCCTAGTATTTTTAGTATGTCTGATGTCGATTGCAATTGAATCACTAGTGTGCACAATATTGACATCGCTGCCATGATTATGTGACTAGTTTAGTGTAATGTAACAGAATTTATTTTAATTACAACACTAAGCAAAGGGATTTTAACCACTCGGCTGCTAAAAGTTTACTCAACATTACAGTAATAGCTACTGAACTATCTGGGCACATTCATGAGCCTAAACTATGAAAATAAACAACAACAATTTGCATTTACACAGCATTCTTCACACTGGATAGTGTCTCAGAAAGCTGTACTGTGGCAGGGTTAAACGCCGAGCAAGAGGAAAGGGGACATGAGTTAAGTCTTATGTGGAATTTAACAACAGATAAAGAGGGGGTGAGGCGGAGTGATTGAGGCCGAGGTTAAAAGTCGTAGAAGCTGAAGGCACGGCCACTGGAGGGTTTGGAAGCCTGTGCCAACTACAGTATAGAACTCAACTCTTTTTTTCCAATTCTATCTTTCTAACTGTAGTTTTACTATTTTCAGCCTATTTGAGCTTTAAGTCCCTTCACCTCCCTGTCTTCCAGCTCCCACCATCCATTCTGGTGTTGCAAGCAGTGAAAAAAATTAAACGTTGTTTACCAAAAAATCCTAAATCCCTGTGCTGGCTCCATCGATGCTTCAAAACGCCGGCTGGCACACAGAAAGCCAGAAAGGCCGTTTTCCGAGTCATTATGTGTGCGAGGAAGTGGCATCACTGGCAGTGAAATTGACTTAGAAATTGGTCATTTTGGCTTCTCAAATGCCGGCTGCATGTGGTCTGATTTATCTGCTGCCCCCAGCACTGCACTGGAATGTCAGCCAGGACCAAGTTCAAATTCCTGAGATAGGCTGGGAACCCACAGATGTCCAACTCTTATCACCTGAGCACTACCAACCAAGTCAGGCTGATATCAAAATATCTAAATTCAATCACTGTTATGAAATGTTCTGCCAATTGAGTACAGGTATGTATGCACATTAGCCCAATAAATAGTCAACCCATTCTTACCCGGAGTTGGGATGTTCGCGGTGGTTTTTGTGGCGGTTCTTCGTAAGGTCTGTCTCCAAGGGATGCCAAGATTCGTTTCCGATGACCTAATAAGGTTATCTTCAATACCTAAAACAAAAGATATCTATTAGAGGATTCTAGAACTTGAGCAAACAAGCAGCATTTATTGATTCGGTTGCGGTGGAGGGATAAATCTCTCCTTTAGAAAGCTGTGCAGTTTTATCATCACAGACACGTACAAAACAATTAGTTATAATAATATAATAATCCTTGCATTTTGATTATTATTATTTTATGAATAGTTTTTATAAATACTTATTTGATTTCTTAGCACATCTATGGCATGTTTGACTTCACGTGTTGAAAATGCTTTATATTTTATGAAAAAGATGAGGATTTTGGCTTATGATAGAAATCAAATAGTGAGTAGAGGAGTTGGAAGCGTATCTTTAAATGTGTCCTTACTGATGAAATAGTGAAAATGTCGACATTAGCAATATTACAGAAACGTGGCTGAGAGGCCCAATTGGCACATGATGAGGCTGAGGATATAACATTTTTGAAAAGCCAGACCTGTCCTGTGAAGCTGGAGGCAGGGCTGGTATTATTTTCACGTCTAGAAGAAGTGCTATATCAAATGCAAGATTATTATTATTATTACTGATAACAGAAAATAGAACCTTTGAATGTTACTGCAGAGAAAGACCATTCTGCCCATCAAGTCCGTCCTGTTTCTATCTCCATGAGCCAGCTTTTGCTTGCTCACCTGATGTTGTTTAATATTACTCCTATTTAAGTATCAATCTAAATCCACTTCAAAAACAATTATGGTCTTTCCTTCAACAATGGCTAGCAGATGAGAATGTCACATTTTTGTAGCTTAGCGGTTAGAGCACTCGCCTCACAAGCGAGAGGACCTGGGTTTGATTCTCAGGCAAGGCGAAATGTTGGGCAAGTTTCCTTACTCCACACACCTCTGTTTACATAGCAGTAAGTAGGAATCCCGTTGTTAGTTGATTGGCAATTCTACCTAAAGCTATTTTCAGTGTTGAGCGGTCTGTGATTCAAAATAATAACCATAATGCAGAAAGTACCTTTGCTGTGAGATGACGTATTATTACAGAAACAGAGGTTTGAGCATCTTTCTACTTTAGCTAATAGCTGTCATTGGTTTTCAGATCATTAACTGGTGGCATTCTTACTGATGTAAAGTTAGAGACGCTCTGCAGGGAAGGGCAAGCAAACTATTTAAGGATGGCAGTAATACTCATTGGCAAAACTTGAAACATAAATCTACAGAGTATGTGGAGGATAAATAAATATCTGGTCATTAATGTTCACTTATAGATTTAAACTACTACTCTAAATGCTGTATACTGGGGGGAGACCTCCTTCAGAAGAGACCTTGAGGAGATGCCTACTTAGTGGGATGATGACAGTAAACTGCCAAGAGATGGGGTAGAAGTGTAATTGCAGTCTCAATGGCTCCTCTGGTTAAATTCCTTGAAACCAATATGAGAGCGCTGTTCGTTTGGTTAAATTGGAAAGAGAAGACAAACAATTAAAAAAGGTTGGATGAAGGAAGACTAACTTCAAATGGTTATACAATGAGTGTGGAACCAAACCCCAACAGAAGAGTGGCAAGGAAATCAAGGAGCATTCGAGAGAAAGAGGTGAGCGGAGAAAATTGGAGATTTTAAAAAAAATTGCGCATAATAGAAAAATGCCATTGCTTGTGGGACTACCAATAATAGGGACCGGGGAAGGAGCACTGAATTAAATTAACAGCAAATTATTTTTGCCTTATTTAATATTAATGACAGAGTCCTGTAGCTCAGTGGTTAGAGCACTCGCCTCACAAGCGAGAGACCTGGGTTCGATTCCCGGTAGGGCGAAACGTTGGGCAAGTTTCCTTACTCCACACATCTCTGTTCACCTGGCAGTAAGTAGGAACCCGGTAGCTAGTCGATTGATGGATCGCTTTTCCTGGGAAATAAGTCCTTCAAAAAAAAATTGGTCACTCAATCCACGACTGTTTGTGGGACACTGCTGTGTACAATTGGCTGCCCCATTTCGCCCACAAAATATACAGTCAATTCACTTTACAGTATATTCTGTGAAGCGCTTGCGATGCCTCGAAGACGTGATAAGGCGTTATCAAATGGAAGGATTATTATTGTTAAATCATCACAAAGTTCACTGTGTAGCAGTGTGTAGCAGTCTTCTAACGGTACTGCATAAACCGAAAAAAAGGACTCTAATTGGAAGCACTCCACTTAATATTTTTCTCTTAGTTTCTTGGGTTACACTATGTTGTCATATCCCAATGTAGTCATAATAATGTGAACCAAAACAGATTTGCCCAGTTAATTTGACAAATACTGAAGCTGTAAATATGGTGCAACAATTATGAGAAAAGCTTGTTCCCTCTGCATCACCATGGCTTTCAGAGCCACACGCTAACACATAGCTGAAGGCCACAAAGGGAGATAGGCAAATTCAAGACAATCTTGGGAGCAAAGCTGCTCTCAAAAATCTCACAAAACCTTCCCACAAATGACAAAGGGAATGCTGATCCTTGCAAAAGAAAAATGATTATACATTTACACATAAAAAGGAAGAGATTGTGGGGGAGTGCGCTGAAGGTCATAACTCAGCCTAACAGTCTGGCGACATTCATCAACCACTTAAGTACTGCTTGTGACTTTAGGATATCTTCAGAATCCCTCAAATGAATTACAGCCTAATAACTCCTTCCCATGTAACCAGTGTAACGGCCAGCACTCAGCAACGTGGCATCAGTACGTGAGTTTTAAGCAACAGCTAACTCCGGGGAACATTACTTCTTCAAAGAGGTTCAAAAGTGTTTGTTTGACCTACGTTCACAATCTCCAATTCCCAGAGGTTTTTGATACAGTCCATAGAGTTATATCCGCTGGACACAAAGGTCTGAATGTAATCGTGCAATCCCAGCGATTCCAGCCACGCCGAGATTGAGGTCCCGCTGCTCCCATCACAACCGAGTGGCTTTATCTGAAATAAGAATAATAAAACAGCAATCAGAGTCTACGAAGGCAGCACAGAATGAGGCCATTCAGCCTGTGTGTCATTGCTGGTGATAAGCTTGACCTCTTAGACAGAAAGCAAGCAAGGTTATTCTCTTCCTTTTACTTCAAATACATGTGTTACAGTTTTATGAGCGAATCTGCTCTTCCAATGACATGGCTTCATTCTGAAATGTAGTTCTCCAGTGAAAGCAGTGTGGAATGGATCAAATTACTTTAGAAGGTAGCACAGTGTTTACTCGCCGGCTTAAGCAAGACACAAAGATCTAGTTGTGTTCACAGCAAAAGTTTGCAAATGGCCAGGGGTGAACGTGTGTCCTGCTATTTCATGCCACAGAACATTGGAACCAGTTGAAATCATATTTTATTTGAAACGTTCCATTAGATTACCTATGGCCCTGAGGGACCAGCTTCGTTTGATATGAACTATTGCAGTGGAGACTTTTTTTTATTGCTTTCCACCAGAATTGCTGATGTGCAATCCTGAAGCTCAGTCAGTAACAGAATCTAATGAAAATCAACTGCACAGATCTGTAATTTAGTGGCACTGATGCACTCAAAATACGCCCTCATCTCAGGTTTATTTCACTGGGGCTATTTTAACACTTGACTTGGTGTCATGAGATGCAAACCCATAATTTAGCAAAATGAATCACACTTTCCCGTTACACCCCAAACTAGGTGAAGCAAATTAAGTCAAAATCCCAGCAAACAGAACATTTGCTGAATGTTCACAAGAGGCATTTCTACAGAAATTTAACTGGGTTGACTTGCTGAAGCCATTAACACAGCAGGTTTCCACTGGTATGTTAAACCACTCATATGTAATAATTCTCTCAAATCCTAACACTGTCTTTCTGCCTCAATCCTCCTTTATTGTAGTATCACTGGTGCTAAAAGCACCTTTGCCAAACAAGCACTCTCACATTCATTAATTCTAGGAGTCTTCATGAATTATACCTACAAAAGGTTAAACAAAATATTCAAGCAAATTTGGGAGCTGAATGTTTTAACAAAGAGAAGCCTGCGCTCTGTCGTTAGTATCATGAAACCATGAATTAGGTACGGAATGTGAGGTAAGTTGGTCAACAATGGGCCTTCAATTATTCACTTCCAATGTGGGACCGGATGTGGGAGAAGAAGGGTAACTGGGGATCGAACCTGATACCTAAGTTGCCCGCGGGTTCAGAGAGTTTTAAGGACAGATTGGGTAGGTTGAGGAGGTTGGAACCGCAGGGAAGTCAACGGGAGTCAAAGAGTATGGTTTCCCATCTTGTTGATGTTTAACTGCAAGAAATTTGTGCTCATCCAGCTCCTGATGTCCGACAGACGAGCTGACAAAACATCAGAGGACTGAGGGTCACAGCTGGAGGAGAAGAAGTAGAGTTGAGTGTCATCGCATACATGTGGAAGTTAACCCTGTGTCTGGAGATGACATCACTGAGAGGGAGCATATAGATGAGGAAGAGGAGTCAAGGTTGGAGCCTTGGGGTACCCCGCAGGTGACCGTGCTGGGGCAAGAAGAAAAACCATTTGTTATTGTTCAGTTATTGTTGAGAGTGAAGACTGTTTCTGAGCCCCTGAGAATTGTCAATATCGGGTTTATATGTTTTTAAAGGTTAAGCAGCATTGTGAGGGGATGTGTGAGCGGAGCAGGAATTGTGTGGATTCGATGCAAACTTGTGGAGGCTATTCAATGCCATAAGCCTTGGAACCCATATGGTCTAACCTGACACACTAATGCAGTGCTGGGGGTTGCTACATTATTTGGTCCAAATGACCTATTTCCATGCTGTATCACTCTATGTAATTCTGTGTAAAAAGTTGTTCAATAATCTGAACTACAGATCTGAGAAACCGAGAATATCACCAAGCCACTGGGGACTCAGAGCTGTCTTTGTCCTTTCTTTTCCATCCCTTCAGCTTGTGTTACGCCTAGCGTAAAACATGGTTAATAACCATCTGATTTTCAAGTTCAATCTGCAATTGTAAAGTCTGTCTTGAACAATCAAACTTCAGAACTATGCCAGAGCTGCAACCTGGTCACTAAATAAACCTCCCTCTAAAGACGTCACTAAACAGATTTCAGACTAAACAGGCTTCACTCCCAAATCCTGTGAGTTCAAGAGAGCGATGCCAGGAAGCCTGCAAGCTCACCCTCCAGTAGGGCAGAAAGATCAGGAGACATGAAGCAGGTTCGCTGAGTGAAGGGAGTAACTGGGTCAGTAAGCTTGTAGGCTCGAGGTGGAGTGGGAAAGTGTTGTAGGAGGCAACACGGGTGCACAGGTCTGGATAGTCAGCAGCTTATCCTGGCGAGTCTAGTGAGCAGAGAGCATCAACATTGTCAAGCCTGGATGTGATGAAAGCGTGAATGAGGGTTTTAGCAGCCCGGGGGGAGATGCAAAGGTGGGCAATATTACGGAGTTGAGAGAAAGTTAAATGAGTAGAAGGGCTAATGTGGGGTTTGAAAGACAGCTGGGAGTCAAACAAGGCATCTAATTTCAGCACCAGCGCTGCAATGTGAAGTGAGCATCCACTCAGGTTGATGTTGTCAATGCCTCAGGTTTCACTGAAGAAAGTTGGAGCTCATCCAGGACTTGACAGGCAATACATGAAGACGAGTTCAAACTCAGTTACAGAAACCGTTCACTTGAAATAGCTTCATTTACTTTGTGCATTGATTCAGTGATGTTTTAATCCACATGTGATTGTGATCTACTGGTTGAAGGTGGTGGACCTGACCTGGAGTCAGCTGGAGGCTTCACAAACATCATCAAGGAACAGCTGCTGCAGCTGAATGGTATTTTGCACTCAAGAGAACAATGACAAAACCAGGAACCTGTGCACAGCCTTTTCTTTGCAGGTAATGAAAGCATGTATGAGTGTTTCGGTGGCCTGCGGTGTGAGACAGTCGCGGAGCTGGGTGATGCTAAAATGCTGAATGACTAAATATATAAAATGTTAGCAAAACCTACATGTGGTATGTTAGAAGAATGAAAGCGACGGCTAACGACACCTGACTTAGGTTAGTGGAAGTTCAGTGTTGTATATTGTTTATTCAGAATTTGGAAATAAAACATCCAGTTAGTGATAATGACACCTCGTTGCTCATATTGAATCTTTCTGAATGAACACAAAAACCCCATGAGCCTTACCTTAGGAAGAGAGCGTGCAGCCTGAAGAATTTTTCGCCGATGTCCTGCATCATGAATTCCAAGGTCTTGTAGGTCCAGTTCCTCCATTACATTACTCCCCTGACGAGAGAAAGTGTTGGAAAAGTCAGAAACCTTTGCCCAAGCATAGCAGTTGTTAGAATATTCAAAACCATCCGTATGCTCCACATTCCACCTGAACGTTATGACTAGTCGTGCTGGAAAACTGTTAATAGAAGCTCAGAGGGTCTGAGATGGATTGCGAGGGTCAGACACAAGGATTATTATGGATTGTAATATTACAAATGTTCATCATTTCCACAGGACTCATTAGTCTGAAATAAAGCTTGAACAATGCTCTTGCAGAAGAAGGCAGCCGTTATTCCAACATCCTCAGGAAGACTGTCTTGGAGGACAGCGAGTTTTATTACACAGAATATTAAAAACTCTGATATTAGTACCAGCAAGCGGGCTGCAGGCTCAACTCAAAGTGTATCACAATTTTACTTTCCAAGAAAACTGCACTAGGCAAAAGCCGTAAAGATTGTAGACTTCAATTACCTTGTTATATTGCTGAAGAAATTTGGGTAATCAAGAAAACCATTCAGAAATGTCCAATTAACCCAGTGAATGGAGCTCAGTTAATTTCAGATCCAATATTTTCCAAAGGGATAATTTGATTAAATATCTGTTCTTTAAGACATAAATAATCACTCGGCAAAAAGCCCAGGAACAAAAGGTGATCACTCCAATCAATATGACCACAGGGAATCCAATTTAGCAGCAGCATGTGCTAGCTGAAAGCAGTCACTGAATATTTAATTATTTGACTAGTTATCAAATTGTACTGCATTGTTACAAGCAGAAATGTGTGTCAGGTTGGCTCCGTGTCAGAAGGTTGTGGGTTCAAGCCTCAAGCCTTGTGGGTTCACGTTGGGACTTCAACTCACATAGTCTAGACTTACAAGAGGTGCCATTCTTCAGATGAGACATCAAATCAAGGTCCCACCTGTCTGTTCAGGTGGACATTATAAAGATCCCATGGCATTATTCGAAAAGAGAAGGAAGTTTCTCCCGGTGTCTTGGCCAACAAATCCCCCCAAATAAAATGGATCATTCACTTCATGGCTGTTTATGGGACGTTTCTGTACCCAAATTGAGTATCAGTAGAATTACTAATAAATGTAGAATTCAATAAAACAGGATTGTTACAATCTAAAGCCAACATCAGACAGGATTAGCTGGTGTCTACTCAACAGTGCACCACCACGTTTTTCAACATAATTGAAAAGGAAAAAAAAAATGAAGCCTTGAGTAATGAGGTAACTGTGAAGGTCTGAAAATGTTTATTTGTGGCACTAACAGATTTCAGCTAATTCACAGAACATAATCATGCGTAGGTGTCAAACGCCAAGCGTTTAGAAGCCATGTTGATTGTAATTACAACTCATTCGTCAATCCCTACACTTCAATATCTGTTTGGATATACCCTCTTGAAGTTCTCTTTCAAACAAAGAAAAATGTAACTGAGGCACGGTCAAAGAAGAAGGTTTTTAGGTGAGATTTAAAGACAGAAGTGAGACAGAACATCACAGAAATAGAGAGGTGCAAGAGCGTGAATCTATAGCCAGAATGAAGGGGAAAAGCTTTAACGTAGGAGCTTGAGTTTAATATGAGATTGTAATGTTACATCAACTGCTCAGCAAACAATACTTCTACATCATAAAAAAAACTTTTGTCTGGCAGAAAAACAGTCTGCTCAGAGGCACACTTAGAAGCATTAGAAATTTACAGCACAGAAGGAAGCCGTTTGACCCGTTTGCGCAGTTAAGAGAATTTAACAATCATCTAAAGTGATTTTCTCTTCTATAGCGAATCATTTATAAATCGAATACATTTAAAATACTGCTACGCAATAATTCTCTGCTATGCTGGAAAGAATTAAAATATCAATTTTTAAAAAAAAAGGCAATAAAAACATCTTTCCTTCATTTCATTGCTCTATCCAAGGAAATCAGAAGACGTAGAAGGTAATAGTTCATAGGAAATCTGCAGGTTCCCAAGCAACATAGACCAGAAAAAGACTACGCCCCGGTCACAAATCAAATAATAAATATGAACTGAAAAATACTACACTATCTGTCACACACTGCAAGTGAATTCTTTACCAAATGGCTATTTAATTCCCTCTATATTTGTTGACAATAACCTGCTCAGGTGCTTCCCTCGATAGCCTGTTCCACAAAAGTATAATCATAACATGGTAGCCAGAACGAGTGATGAGATGGAATGCACCCATATTCACATTCCAGCAGTTGCTGGGTATGGAACACTAGATGTCTGGGAGTGAATTGTCGGCACTGTAATTCAATCTAGCAACTCTGATTATGTGATAAACTGCCAAAGTGGTTCAGTGAATGCTTTACTATTGCCAGCAAAATTGAGGGATCAATTTACTCCTTCAAATTCGGTGCCCCGGCTTCAAATCATTCTTTGCTGCTGAAAGAGTAAAACAGTATGATTCTAAACATGTGTAAGACAAAGTGGTTGATAGAACAATACAAGTGTAGTATGAAATACAATGTAAACAAACAAGCACTGTAATTCAGCTAAGCTTCATTCTTGGCTTCAGCAGCTGATACACGATGCACAACCCAGGAAGGTACTGGAACACTCTTCCTCTATCCTTCCTCTCCCATTTTCAGGTTGCTCCTTCCTATTCGACTGTGCCTACGGTCACCTCCCTGGCTCAGCACCGTGCTCTGCCATTGTCAAGCGCTCTGGAACGCTACCTGCATGAGGAGTGCTGTATAAATGGCAGCTGTTGTTGTTACTGAGCCACAGCAGAGACCAATTAGATCCAAGGTTCAACACATGATTGCTCTGAGTTAGGTGGTTCAGGCATGGAGCCAGTGAGAGACTGCAGTCACCACAGCTTCCCTCCCCGAGCAAAGGGAAAAGAACAGAAATGATGTGAATCGAGTTTACTGTTGACCTCCCCCCCAACCCTGGGAAGAACCCAAATATATAATTCAAGCAGGATTTGCTGGATTGAAATATTTGAGTTCCCAGTATTAACTCCCGAATACCCTACATTCATTGTTGTATTCTGTAGGTAAATAAAAGGAAAATCATAGAATTTAACTTAAATTTCAACATTTTGCCCATAAAATACGCAGTTATTCCACTTTGCTGTATATCCTGTGGATCGCTTTGAGACCGCTCGATGATGTGATAAAGCGCTATATCAAATGTAAGGATAATTTTATGATAACATTTATTAATATATTTTATTATACGTTAAAAAGTTTTTTCGTCTCCTTGCTCCACGAGACTCCAGTTCTTCATTGTAGCTACGCAAGGCAATAAAATAATACATTATTAATGTACACTTGCCATTTTTGGGCTTGTTACAGCTGTGGATAAACCAGATATTACAAGGTGTTCAATTTCAATCACCTTGAGTAAACACTGAAACAAACCATCAAACTATCCTCCTTTTATTGCAAGACACAAAGCAGAGATTCCCAACACCTGGTCCCTTACCAGCTAGCGGCAAAGATCAAGCTGTTAACTTGTCAAAGCACAATTTGAACAATCCGTCAGAGCTTTGGTTTTCAAAGCACAATTTTTTGCTGTTGGAAACTTTAATTCCAACAGAAATAGTCTCACAGTATTTCCTTGATTCACAATACAACATAACAATGTGTGCCACATGATGAGAGAAAGGAATATGTGTGTCAGTCTGGCTCACTGAGCCACTCTTGAGTCAGAAAGTTGTGGGTCCAGGCCTATGTTGGGACTTAAAGCTCATACAGTCTACACTCAACACTGTTGGATGTGTTGTGCTTCAGGTTAAACTGTGGTCTTGTTTGCCTGTTCAGATAAATGTTAAAAATCCCATGCACTATTTGAAAAGTGAAGGGAGTTTCTCCCAGTTTCTTCCCAAATAAAATTGATCATTCAGATCATGGCTGTTTATGGGGTATTGCTGTATGCAAACTGGCTGTCACAATTGTCTACAAAATAGAGTTACTACACTACACTTCGTTTCAACCGTGCCTTCAGCTCCCCTCTCGACTCTCTACCACCTCCTCGCTCCCTCCCTTCCCCCTCCCCTCACCCTGACCAGTTCCCCCCACTCGGGTCCTGACCCAACTGTCCAGCGCCTTGGGACGTCCTCCCGACGTGAAAGTCGCTCTATAAATGCAATCTTGTTGTTGTTGTTGTTTACAATAAAACCTGTGAAGCGCTTTGAGACATCTTCCTGACGTGAAAGGTGCCATATCAAATATAAGGATTATTAGTGTTATTATTGCAAACGCAGAGCTGGTACACTCATGTCACAAAACAATCAGTAAATATCTCAAACACATTTGGGCAGTACCTCATTGCAGCTAAGGTGGTGGGAGAGAGGAAGAAAGGGTGAATGATGGTCTATCGTATACTACAGAACCACTTCTGTAATGGTCTAGGGTCCTGCTGTTGGGAAATCTTCCACTTCACACCCCATAGTGGATTCTGAAACACTGGAGATATGTAAGTGCATCACTGGTTTGTACACACATAACTTACCCATTGCCAAAGTCACTTTCTTCAGAAGATGCAAGAAAATTGGGTGGATGAAGCCTCATGGAATGGATCCATAACTTAGCTGCCAACAAGTATTCATCCTGCTTCTCCCACAGCCACACAACAGAGGGTTAGGAGAGACCATCTGCCCAGGTGCGTGTCCATGTCCCTTGGGGTTGCACCAGCAGTGACAGGGAAATATGATACACAGGCACATGTGCTTATGTCACTGTTGTAGCTCATTCTGAATGCTGCTCTCACTGTGCAACAGGAATATTGGCAGCTCAGTGAATGCATTTGCATAATGTGTAACCAATTTAAATAGTTCATTCCGAAGCCTAATTATAAATGTTGTAGACATACTTTAAGCCATTTGTTTAATATCAATTTAATTTCCTTTCCAGGAAGGCGAGTAATTTAGTCCTTATATGGACGGTTTTAAAAACAATCTAAGGGCATGACAACAAAGTACACAGACGTTTAACGGACTTGGTCCTCCGTGGCTTCCTCAAATGTTTCCTATTTAAAAT